CCTATCATAAGGGCGTGGCCACCCCATGGGGTCTGCGGAAACAGCGACAGCGCACAGATTAAACCGAGAGACGAGGGATCACCAATCTCTTTTCATCAGGCAAGCGCCGTGGGACACACGGTGGTACTCTAAAGAATCGAGCCGGGGAAGTGGGACCACTTCGGCGGCTAAGTGCAATCACCAAAATTTGCCACACACAGCCATTACATTTGCGGTGTGTGGGGGTCGGTGGGTGGGAGCTTGAGCAGGAGCGGTTTCGGAGCAGAGGGAGAGAGCAACAGCAGGAGCAGCGAACGAGACGGACGCGGCTCCACTGCTCTGAAACTCCCGAGGCCACTCGCACTTAGGAAAACGAGTCAGAGACAAATCATTCCTATCATAAGGGCGTGGCCACCCCATGGGGTCTGCGGAAACAGCGACAGCGCACAGATTAAACCGAGAGACGAGGGGTCATCAACCTTTTTCATCAGGCAAGCGCCGTGGGACACACGGTGGTACTCTAAAAACTCGAGCCGTGGAAGTGGAACAACTTCTGCGGCTAAGTGCAATCACCAAAAATTGCCACACACACACAGAGCACATTTGCGTCCCATCCCCATCGTCAAATGCCCTTCGGGAGGGCGGGTGGGTATAAATCATTATCACTGTTTAAATCCGAGGCTGGGGCGAAGAGACAAGACTAGTTGGCGCACACGCGCCTGAGGATGTCACGAACTGTCGAGTCAGTAAAACGGGCAGCTGACGAGATCTGCAGTTCAGTGAGCTTCGACCTCTGACGAAGGGCAGACCCGTGCTTTTCATATATACGAACACTCTCTCGGGCGCGCCAGCGCCCGCGCTGCTGGATGGCCTCGATCGGTCGGATTTTGTTCAGAGCGTCGTGCGAGGGCCCTCCGTGGCGCAACTGGTGAGGAACTGACAGGAGATCACCAACTCCTGCTGAGTGGGCGGCCTGTTTCAAAGTCTTTTCAAACAGAGGAAGGGAAAGAGGGTGGAACAGAGTTGGCAGCTTCTGACGTCTGGCACGGGCTCGCAGCCTAGAGAGAATCTCGGGAACGACTCGGCGAACTGGCAGGTCAGTGCCGGCCTTCACCGTACAGTCGAAATCTTTGTTCTTGGCTGGCTTGTCGTCGCCAAGCGGTGCTACGACGACGGTGATGTCAGAAGCCCTGCCCGACGTACGAGAGCCGAAGACGTGCTCTGGCTTGATGGCAAGCAACTCGCCTGGCCGGAAGTACATGTCGAACCCGGTCACGGAGGCCAGGCACGCCAGCAGGTCGGACGTGGTCCCGTTGTCGAGCACGGCACAGGTCAGCTGGACGGCTTCGAACGGTGGCGGCTCTCGTGGCGTAGCCGGCAGTTTCGCCGCCCAACCAGTCAGGGCATCTTTGGCCTTATGGAAGCGAGGTCGGCTAGCAGACCATCCTCGAACTTTGCAGAGCCCATACAACGCGTTTCGAGCCAGGTACTGGGGCTCACCTGCAAAGAACAAGTCTTCGAAGTACAAGTTGAGCGTCTCGTCTGCCAGCTCCGGCGTGGTCAGCAGCAAGCCCCGGCGATTGGCGTAGTCGGTCAGCTCGATCACGGCGGACGTGAAGCTGTCGACCGTGGCTGGCCGCAGCGAGGCCAGGCGGAGGTACTCTCCAGGGGCGGCCCGTCGCTGACTAGCAGCGACGTCTCCACGCGCGGCAGCCTGCGCTCGGCGGCGCCGGGCGGCCACGGCCACTGGACGAGGGACAGGGTCACGTTGGCTCCGGCCTGCGCGCCTGGGCGTCAGCACGGCTGAGTCGGCGCCTGCCTCGACGTCTGCCTCGCGGGCGCCGACGCCAGCCGTTGCCCGCGGCTGCCAGTGCGACCGCGGCTGCGCCGGCGCTGGTGCAACCGCCACGTCAGCGGCTGCGCGGGCGCGGGTCGAGCGCGGTGGCCCACCCTGGCCTCCAGGGGAGCCGAAAGCGCTGCGGGCAGATCGGCGCCGTGACTCCGCGGGGCTCGGCGACCCCGGCCGCGCTTGCCAGCGCGTGAGCCCGAGCCTGGAGGTCATCCTGGGTCGAGCGCCCGAAAGCACTCTGAGGGGCGTCTGGGCCGGCCAACGAGGCCAGCAGGCGGCACCAGCTGGGTGGGTAAGCCCCGGCCAGAGTCGTCCGCCACGTCCAGCCTCGCGTTGGATGCCGGACCTTGCCCTGCAGCTCGACCCTGTGGCGGCAAGCGCAACAGCAACGAAGTGCAAGATGACCCAGCCCGGGAAGGCTCCCGGCGATCGCACCTGGCTTCTTGAAGGGCGCCCCGAACCTGCACGAGTCGAACAGCACCTTCGGCCAGGCAAGGCGCTGCAGCTCGCGCTGCAACGCGGGCCACTTCCAGACTCGGCTCGCAGGCGGGTTCTCGAAAGTGACGAAGATCCCCAGGGTTCGGCAGAGCCGCAAGACACGGACTGTGAATGCCACGAGCGTGCGGTCCGCCGGCGATGGATCGCGCGCCCCCCCGACGGGCACCCACCTCGTGCAAGGCAGGCCCAGGTGGACCCACCAGACTTCTCCCGATTTGAGCCAATGTTCAACGAGATGCTGGACACGGCGGCTTGTGAGGTCACAGTGGGGCCCATACTTGGAGTCCATCGGGGGCATGATCCGAAAACCTCGCTCATGCAGCGCACCGCTGAGATTTGCAGTACCCGCGAAGATCTCGAGGAAGGCTTTACGAGGGGGACCCCGTCGAGGAACTTCAGGAGGCCGAGGGCGCTTAGCCAGTGCCCGTTGAGGCTCTTCGTGTGGCCCAAGATGTACAGGTGGGCCCCGTTGTAGAACTGCAGGAGGCCGAGGGCGCTCAGGAGGGTCCTGTTGAGGATCTTCGCGTGCCCCAAGGTGTACATGTGGGCCCCGTAGAGGAACTCCAGGAGGCTCGGGTGCAACAGGGAGGCTTCGAACATGTTCATGTCGATCTCGTCGGGGTCGCTCGTTGGGGAGTACTCTCGAGACTTCATCTTGATGCCTTTTACTCTGGAAAGAAGAGGAATGCGTGGCAGAGAAAGGCTGAGGTGACGGAGGTGAAGGAATGCAACGGTCTCTTTCGGTGTTTTCAGGCCCCAGCAGCTCGGCCTGCTCTCGTCCGATCTCAAACTCGGTAGCCGTGGTCGGCGAGGCCTTGGCCCAGCCCGCGGCTGGCGGGACCACGGGAATTCGGCGGCTGCCGCTGGTGGGCGCCGACAGGGCGCCTCGTCCGCGGCAGCGTCCGGGGAGGAGCTCACCCCGGTCAGCCGCCCGGCTCCCGTGGTCCGCGACGTTGTAGATGCCAGGCACGTGCCTCGGGCGCCAGCGGATCTCGCACCCGAAGCAGACGGCCGCAGCCCGGCGACACTGCGCCAGGAGCTCAAAATTGGTGGCCCTGCCCTTCTCAAAGGCGAGGACCGACGACATGTTGTCGCACAGACTGAGGATCTCCTTCCCGTGGAAGTTGACGTCGCCTGCCGCTCTCCATAGCGGTGCGACGGCGGCGCGCGCCTCGAGGGCGTGGATACGCCCTGGCCGGCGCCACGCGCCACGGCGGCGCTCCACCCAGCGGCCAGCGTCCAGCAGAGCGTCCGCCAACGGCTCGGGCGGGACGCCGATCTCCAACTCGACCCGGCGCCTCTTGGCCACGGCGTGCCGCAGCCGGGGCGGCAGCTCGACGGGCAGTGGCTCGGAGATGTCGCAGAAGCCGGCGGCCCGCCCCTCGTACTGCTCGTCGTCGGGCGCGACCTCGGGCTCGGTGGCGACGAACCGCTGGCGCTCCCGCCATCTGGTGGCCGCCAGCACCTCCCAGGGCTCCAGCCGGGCTTCGCAGACGGCGTAGCCTCGCAGCGAGCTGTCGGTCGTGAAGGCGACGTCGGACGGCACGCGGCACAGGTCCACTTCGCCGAGGAAGACGAGCCCTGCAGCAACTGCGAGCTCACCGAGAACATCTCCAGGCAAGCGCACGACAGGGGACAGGTCGCCGTCTCCGATGAACGTGTAGCAGGCCCCCAGCACGCTGAGCCCGGGGCGCACGACGGAGAAGTAGTGCACCAGATGGCCGACGATCCGTCGCAGCTGCCAGCGGGCGAGCCATGGCGTCCGAAGCACGTGGTGCAGAGCCAGGTAGAGCCTCCAGGCGCGCTTGGCGGTATGCCTGAGTCGGCCCTCGCGCCCGTCGAGCACCAACCCCAAGATGACAAGGCCGGGCTGCGCGCGCTCGAGCTCGTGCCAGCGAAGCCCACGACGGTCCAGTTCAGCAGTGAGCTTGTCCAGCCGGTCGTTGAGCGCCGGCGCGCTGAGCGACACAAGATTCCCGTTGTCGACGTACGGCGCCCTGACGACAGCCTGTCCGACGAGAGTCGGCGCGCGGGCTTCGTCAAGGCACCAGCCGTCGCCTGGGAGGCCCGCCTCGACCATCGCGTCGACGAGAACCTCGTGGCAGATCCAGAGCGCCCAGCTCCAGCCCATGGGCAGCGCCGCGAAGCAGGGCCAGATGACGTCGTCGCCCGATACGGCCACGCGGCGCCCGAGCTTCTCGTCGTAGATCGAGTCGAGCCCGAGCTCGTCAGCGGTGACCTCCACGTCGAAGCACATCCAGCTGCCCCACGAGGGGTCGGCGAACTGGTAGAACCCGTCCATGAGGTCCACGGAGCCTGCGCAGAGTGACTCGTAGCAGCCGTCGAAATCCGCCAAGTCCTCGGGGCTCGCGCCGACGGCGTCGAGCAAGTTGATCGAGCCCAGCGCCTCACCGGATGCAAGCACAGTCCGAGGGGGAAGCTTGTGCAGCTGGTTGGGCTGGCGAGCGTCCACGACCATGCGGATGTCGCCGTTCTTCTTGGCGACGAAGAAGGTACTGACGCGCGCCTTCCGACGCGCCCGGCCATCCACCAGGCCCCGTGCAGCGAGTCGTCGAAGGAAGTCGACCAGACGTGGCCGGTTCTGAGGGTCGCGCGGATTGAGGAGAGGGTCCCAGTACGGCTCCACGATGACCTCGTCCTCGGGGATGTTCGGCGCGGGGCGAACGACGTCCGAGTCGAAGTGGTCCAGCGCCTCGGTGACGTGCCGAGGGGCAACGTCTCGAAGCTGACGAGGCCGGTCATGTGGCGCACGTCGTAACACATTGAGCTTGTCAGCATCGTAGTCGCGGCGAGTAGAAGCCTCGCCCATGTTCGAGTACAGATCCTTGCACTTGAGGAGCTCCTGCAGGGCTCCAGCACAGTCCATGTCTTTCGGTCGGTCGCCGAACCCGCGGATACGACGTCGGACTCGCTTGATGACCGACTCCTGGGCGGTAGTCGGCCGATGCTTGCCGGGCGCTCGAGGCTCGAGACGCCCCCCAGCCCGTGCGCCTGCCAGCGCGTTGAGCGCGCCCAGAGTCTCGAGAGACCTGCGATCGCGGTCGTCAGCACGAGCAGCACGCTGGGCCAGATACCGAGGCAGAGCGGCACGTTCTCCACGATGAGGGTGGCGATAGAACTCGTCACCCTGCGGCAGAGGAAACAAAACTGTGGGCGAAGTCCGACTCTCGGAGGAGACCCCCTCGGAGAGCAGCCCGGCCCGACTCGCATTCGCGGCTGCGGAGTCAGGGCCAGGCCCAGTGAGGCCGGGCGGAGCGCCCAGCCATGATGGCGCCGACATGGCGCCGTCAACCCTGATCCTTCGCGGCGGCCTTGGGCTTCGGCTTCACCTTGCCCTTCGGATCCGCCCTGGAGCCCCTCTCCCGGTCGTCGCCCTGCCTCTCGTACTTCTTCGCCTCCGACTCCTGCTCCTCCCGGTACATCCGCTCCTGCTTCAGAATGATGCCCTGCGACTTCTGCTCCTCGGCCACGAACGCGTCGAACCTCGACGTCACGACGCCTCCGCTCTCGTCCAGAGAGCTGCTCAACATCAAGCCGAGGCCCTCGAAACTCGGGTGGCGCGGGCACCTCTTCACAGCCCGCTGGATCTGCAGCACTCGGCGCCCCAGGAGCTCCAGAGACGCCAAGTTCGACGGGTCCACGAGGTCGTACGTCACGGCGTGGTGCAGCTGGTTCAGCGCGTGCCGCACCTCCTGGGCCACCGCGGCGTTCCGAGACACCCCCGACTCTGAGACCCAGTACCCCCAGTAGGACGTGAGGGTCAGCCCGGTGGCAAGGATGGCGGCCAGCAGCTCGGGCAGGGCCTTCGGCCCCCGAAAGGGCCAGTCGTCGAAGTCGATCGCGTTCATCTTCGCGATCGCCTCCCCGAGCGTCACCTGGACCCCGCGACCCCGGCGCGCCAGCGGGAGGATCCGCGGGTCGCGTCCCGGGCCGCGGCGCTTCTCGGCGCGCCAGTCCTCCTCGTCGGCCTGCTGCACGTTCTCGACCGAGACCCAGCCCTCCTCCTCGCTGAGCATCGCGATGCCCACCGCGTCGCGGCTGATCAGCCGCTCCGGGTTCCCGATGAGGTGGAGGTCCAGCTCGCGCCCGAACTCGGGCGAGCCTGGGTCCGAGACGATCCAGCGCGGCACGACGCCCCCAGCAGTCCCAGCTGGGGCCGAGACGCCCATGACCAGGGCGAGGCCGCGCGCCTCCACCCGCAGCGCCTCGATGTCCTCGTCCGACTGGTCGCCGAACGCGTAGACCTGCCCACGAACCCGCACCGGGAACGCGGACCCCCGACGCAGGGGGACGACCAGGTGCTTGCTGAGGTCCAGCGTCAGCACCTCGCCGTCGGGAGTCGCCGCCACCCAGACGCCAGGGCTGAGCTGCTCGAGGAGCACCCTGTGGTGCCATCGGAAGTTGTCGTCGTCGTCGTAGTTCACGCACACCTGCGCCTCGGGCACGTCGAGCGTCCGCATCGCCGCCGCTGCCATCTGGCGAACGGCCGACGATCAGGCTACGCCCGCACCGCCCGAAAGCGGCGCTGCGCGCCGCCGTCCTGGCCCGCTCCGTCGTCCTCGACGAGCAGGGTCACGGGCGCCGCACCCTCGCGCCGCGGCGGGTCGGTCCCGCCGACGAAGAGCGAAGCGACTCGGGCGGCCCAGCCCAGCGTCACGCGGAGGCTGCCACCAGCCGCGAGCCCAGCGCCCAGGGCGGCAAGGACCGCCCACCAGCCTGGCCCGGACCCGCAGGTCAGACTGCAGTCCGGGCAGCTCGGGCAGCCCGGGCAGGGGGCGGCGGCCGCCGCCGGAGGGCACGCGGGGCAGGCCCCGCACGTCACCCGGGCCTCTGGGCAGGCGGGACAGCGCGAGAGCCACGCAGTCGCGATGGAGGCCGCCCACGGGCCGGCTGCGGCCCACGGCACCACCATGCACTGCCGGGGGCCCCACGAATGATAGAGCTTGAGCAGGAGCGGTTTCGGAGCAGAGGGAGAGAGCAGCAGCAGGAGCAGCGAACGAGACGGACGCGGCTCCACTGCTCAGAAACTCCCGAGGCCACTCGCACTTAGGAAAACGAGTCAAAGACAAATCAATGGAGTCTCGACAGAGAGAGAGAGAGAGAGAGCGCGCGATTCCTGAACTAATTGTGAAGGAAACTCAGGCGAGAAGCCGATGGTGTGGAAGCCAGGGGCGCAGAGGCAGTTTGAGCATCCATAACTCCCCTTGCCAAGAAAAGGTGAGAGCCCCAAGGGATGGAGCGCTTCAATTGGAAAGCACTGCGGACACAAATGGCGGCGGGATCAACAATAATTTCAACAAGTGGGTAGAAACACGAAGTAGGAAGGCGTTGAAAATAGAGAGGGCTTCCGCCCGCCCCCTGAAGAGGAAGGAAAAGAAATAGCACTCGATGGTTGATGTAGGAAGGCGCCTAAAGTAGAATGGGAACTGGGAATCCAGGAATACCTACTCTACTCTCAACGACCGACGGGTAGTCACAAAAAGTCAGATCCGTATACAAAAACAACGGCAACGGCAATCCGACAAAAGGAACCCCACCGCTTCAGCCACGAACCCAGGGACAGTGAGTGAAAGACTGCTCGCCCCCGACCCCCCCCCCCCCCCACACACACACACACACACACGCGCGCACACACACACACGCACACACACACACACACACGCGCGCGCACACACACACACACACACACGCGCGCGCGCGCGCATGCCCGCCCGCCCGCGCGCGCACGCACGCACGCACGCACGCACGCACGCACGCACGCACGCACACACACACACACACACACACACACACACACACACACACACACACACACACACACACACGCACGCACGCGCGCACACACACACGCGCACACACAGACACACACACACATGCACACACACTGACACACACACACACACGCACACACACCACCCCTCACTGTGATATTCGCATGCTAAACATGTATAAGTCATCGGCGTCCGTGCATGGACTATATACATGTACCTAGACACCGACGTTGCGGATAAGAGTGAGGGGGCGCGGGTGGGTCACGATCCATCCGTGCCACGACCCACCCGCGCGAGTAACTCGCGAGCGGATCGCGGGCGAGGACGACGACAACGACGCAACGCAATGCGACACGCAGAATCTGCGCCGTGGAATCACACATCAGCGACGCACCCAGGTATCATGTAAGACTGCTCGTTCCCTCAGTCTGATACATACGTATGTACACATACATGTGTATATACTGATGTAACTGCATCCCCCTCTCCGTCTCCATAATTTCCCGTGTGCGTAATTTTCCGTGTGCTCACACATGTATTTATGTATACAGCTATTCATTCTCACATACATACATATAGTATGTCCACTCTGCTGCACCAGTCTTGAGACTTGGCTGCATCTTTCCTGACGCTACAGACGCAACCCTACGAACAAATGTATAGGTTTCTGCGTCCCCCTCTCCCTCACACTCTCTCTCCCTCTCTCTAACCCTCTCGGGGGAGGAAGGAAAGGAGAGAAGTAAGAAAAGCTAAACGCGGGCATCAATAAGGACCCTTGCCCCTTTTCAGACCGGAGCTAAGCAAAGCAAGGTATACAATCTCGGCCCAGATGCAATTGCGCCTGACCCCCGACGCACCCGTTCCGACGCCCGTTGAGGAGAGGAAGGGTGTACGCAGAAATGCTGGAAAACAACAAGGGAAAAGCAGACGCGGGATCCGGAGGACCTCTGATATCCTTCCGTCCCTCGGCCACACAGAAACATCACACACCGCAGCGATCTTAACATCAACGACGGGACCCGATCAGAAACAGCTGGCGCCACCATTAGGCACTGGTTGTTCATGGCGCGTTCCCACCTTTGCTTGGGAAAACGCCCTTCCTGAGGCTACTGATGGACACGGCATGGCTTCAAAGCCAACGAATCGTCGTGCCAGTGTACCGATCATAGATCGCAACAAGTGGCCCACAATTCCTGAGAGCAACCCCAGCCTCTGCCTCCGACAGCACGAGACACTTATACACTATAGATTAACGGATTCAGGCCCAGCGAGGGCAATGGATATTTCACTTTCAGATTCGTCGATCTGAATTGAGTTCGCTTCGTATTTCGCATAGTCTTTGACGTTCCTTGGAATCCAAACTCGGTTCGTGCATGAAGGCGATGAGGCTTGATTATGCCACGCAATTGCCCAACTGGCCCAACCTCGCCGCCTACCGAGAGAAAATGTATCATCGCATACCCCCCCTTGGAGTTGGCGACGCGTACCGCGTACAGGGGGGGGGGTAGGGGGAGGGGGGAAGGCTTCTCAGAAGGAGGCTGCTTCTTAGAAGGCGCGGGCCTTACATCTATGGACACGGCTCGCGCCTTCTAAGCAGCAACCGCCTTCCAAGAAGCCTTCCCCCCTCCCGCTGCCCCCCCCCTTGTGCGCGCCGCCAAAGGAGGGCATGCGCCGAGACCCCAGACAAATAAAAACGCGAAGCGCGTTGTGAAAACATACTGCTCCGAGGAGCCTCGCGGCCCAATCTGCCCGCGGGACAGCACACTGCACGGGCGCCGGAATACACCCCGCATCATCGAAGCGGTCCGCGCAGCTGTCCTCAAAGACGCTGGTCTAGAGAGCCGTCGCTCACTGAAACCTCAAGACGGCTCGCCTCTGATGTCAAACAGCACGCGTCAGAGGCGCCCTCGGTTCGCGTCAGAAGCGCCCTCGGTTCGCCTCTGTGTGGGTCCAAGCTTCCCCCTGGCAACAACTGCATGCAAATAGACCTATTAAGCTGCAACACCCTGTTGCCAAAGCCGCCGCACGTCGCGGTCACGTTGTACCGACAACTCAGCCTAATCTCGCTCATCGCCAGGGTTCCTTCTCTGTTGCATCAGCGTGATCCAGGGCTCGAGCTAAACGGTGTTTCCGTTTTCGTGTTGTTTCCGTTGTCATTCGTCCTGTCTTTGTTCTGCCTGTGCTGCGACAAAAAATCAAAACGAAAACGGTCCACGAAATCACAAAAAAAACGCCGTTTAGCTCGAGCCCTGGTGTGATCCTCAATCGCATCTACTTTGTCCATACGGGCACGCTTTCTAAAAGACGCCTTACCATTACTGCGTCCACCTCGCAGCCCAGGTGCTGGCGTCCCGGTAAATCGGGCGTCGAAATAGCCGCCAACCGTCTGAATGTCGTCACGTTGAGCCGACACAAAAACCGACCACAAGTCCACCCTCAAGTTCACGCACCTCTCTTCCAGAACTGCACGAACAAATTGTATAACGCCCTTTGCCGCACACGAGGCCGTCTGAACGGCCCAGAGAATACATCCATGGCACGTCCGACGTTCGAGGCCCCAGCTGCGCGAACCTCAAACCCCTGAGCTGCACTGAGCCGGCCCTTGAACCCTTGGGCCAAGGGCCAAACACGGCAGCGGTCCCAGCCTCCGAGCATGTGTATTCCTGGCCTTCCTCCCCGATGGGCGGAAGAGCGGACTTGTGTTGCTCCCATCATACTTACAGACCGCATCCCAAAGATAATTTCGAGCACCTAGAAAAAGTATCAAAACAGTGTAGAACGAGTATCGCCTCCCAGGGCCCGACACGTGAGACAACCCTGGAAATTCGGTACGTTCTTGGTGCTCGAAGTTCTTTCTGGCGGTCTAGGCTAATGTAGGTTAGAACATCATAAGAGTAGACTGATTGACTGCCACCTGAAGTGCCAAAGTCTCCAGGGCTGGACAAAACCACTGCTGGGACACTGTCCACAGAAACGAGGTCGAGGAATCGCTGGCCGGCCCAGACTGAACCTCGCAGCACGGTGAGCCTACCGTAAAAGAAGAGAAACACAGACGTTCGGAGCTCGCCAGGGGGGGGCCCACATCCAAGGCATCCGCGCGGAGCTCCCAAAGTTTATGTAAGTGCAATTATCCTCGATGTAGAAGACGTGGCCCAGCGGGCGGGACGCAGGAGGACGCGGGGAGGTGGGGAGCGAGACGGTGGAAGGGAGGGGGAGGCCCTTCTCCTCGGCTATCGACCCTCCTCGACACTCCTTCTCCTCCTCCTCCTCCTCGATCCTCGTACTCCTCGGGGAGGCAAGGGAAGCAGTGGTCGGCCGCTCCTCTGCGGCGGCCTCCCCAGCAGCATCGTCCGCGGCGGAGGCCTTCTCCGGGGCCTGCGCCCAGAAGCCGACGCGGGCGGGGGGCGCCCCCCGGCGGCAGGCCGCCGCTAGTTTCGCCTGGGACTGGTTTTGCTCGGCTGGGTTCGCAAGGCTGGTTTCGCCTGGCGCTGGTTTCGCCCGGGCTGGTTTCTCCCGACGCTGGTGTCGTCCGGGCTGGTTTCTCCCCCTCCTGGTTTCGCCCGGCTGCTTTCGCCCAGCTGCTTTCGCCCGGCTGCTGGAGGAGGTGCAGAAGGAGGAGGAGGAGGAGGAGGAGGAGAAGGGAGGAGGAGGAGGAGAGGAGGAGGAGGAGGAGGAGGAGGGAGGAGGCGGAGAATGACGAGGATGAGGGGGGGGGGAGGAGGAGGTGCAGGAGGATGAGGAGGAGGAGGAGGAGGAGGAGGAGGAGGAGGAGGAGGAGGAGGAGGGGGCAGGACGAGGAGGAGGAGGAGGAGGAGGAGGAGGAGGAGGAGCAGAAGGTGGAGGTGGAGGTGGTGGAGGAGGTGGCTGAGGGAGGGCAAAACTGAGGAGGAGGAGGAGGGAAGAGGGTTAGGGCCGCCGGACCCGACCCGACCCGACCCGACCCGCCCGTTAGAGTCCGCCCGTCCCGACCCGACCCGACCCGCCAATTAGGGTCCGCCTGACCCGACCCGACCCGACCAGTAGGGTTCTCGCGTGCTCTCTCGATTATGCACCACAC